AGGCTCTGCCTTTTCAGGCTCCCGCTCGCGTCCTGGCTGTGCACTTTTAAGAAGAGGGGATTGATGAAGCAGAGCGCGCCGTTGCTCTGGCTGCACTCCAGCTCCGAGGGCGTGCGGGTCCGGATCGCGTGCACGCCATTTATGAGGCAGAGCTGGCGCCCGTCCTTCCGAGCGGCGTCTGCGGGAGCGGGCCGGGATGGAGGCGAAGGAGCCGGGGGGTCACTGTTAGCCGGGGAGCTCCAGAAATCTGAAAGTCATCAGCGCATTAACGTGAGAATGCAAATAGCATGCAGATGGCGTGCGGCTCAGCGTAACCCCTTCAGGGCATGCAGAAAGGCAGACAAGCTTTTATAACTCAAGGGAGGGAAAGAAAAAAAAAAAAGATGAATAGCATTCCTGGTGAGCTGCTCCTTAAAGTGCAATCAGACCAAACCGCGTGCTGCGCTCCTGGGGCGGCTCCGGTTCATTTATTAATATCGCAGCCAGCACAGAGCTTCCAACTGGCCAGCAGAACGACACTAAAAATAAGCTGAGAGCCAAAGGCAGGAACAGAGATCGCAACACAGCAACTCTTACCGGTCTGAGGCTAGGAGGGACGTGAAGCACTCCCCAGCACATCCGTGAGGAGCAACGACACGCGGGTTCTCAGCTGGTGTTAATAAACTCACTGCACTGAAGCCAACAGAGTTTGGCTGATCTACACCAGCTGACAGCCACATAGGGCAGCTCTTCAAAAGCAAAAGTTTTAGGGGGTTGGTTTCTGTTCACAGGGAACAAATAGAACTAGGCAGGAAAGCTCCGCTTGCATTTTGCCGCGCTGCTAACGCTCGTGCCTCTTTAAGAGCCCTGGCCTGCAGCCCTGCGTTTGCACTGGCGGCGCAGGCGGCCGGGGGTTTTAGACACTCAGCAGCACACAAATAGGCTGAATGTGCAGCCCCAGCAGCAGAGTACAGAAAACCTGTGCCAAACCAGCAAACTGCCCCTGCAGCCTCCTCACTTGTGCAAGCAGAGCGTCAGTGTGAGCACCCGAAACTCAGACAATGTGAAAGCTCATCAGCTCCTGCAACTCCGACGGCTGAAAGCAGACAGGCCTGTGGGACAGCGATCGGACTGACGCGAGGGAGGAATTCCAGAGCATAGCAGGGGCTGTGTGCAGGGAAAGGCGCATTGAATGGCCATGCTGTGGCTCCACGAGTTCATCCCCTGCTTGCAGATCCCTCAGCAGCACGCTCAGCACGCAGACTCCTGCAAACATGCACGAGATGAGCACCCCAACAGGTGAAAAGTGAGAAAAGACACCAAAAAAGGGTTGGCAAAAGCCTTGAAACCTTCAACAGTGGTTCTTCTGGATATGGTTTGCTGGGCTATATGCTGTTGACCTGAGCCTACGGCATTAACAGAGCTCAGGCAGCAGCCACGGTCCTTACCATTCAGTTCAGGCTGTTTTGTGCCTGTCTGCTGCTTAAGGGAAAGCTCACAACTGATCGGAAGGGCCCTTTGGGAGCTCTGAGGCATTTCTCGGGTCAGCGGTATTGCAGGTCTAACTTGCTGGTGTGCTCTTTTGGATGTGGTGACCTACAACTCGCCAGCAAAACCTCAGCTTGGTTGCGTGTTCTGCAAGCACAGAGACAGTCTAGTAGCATGTGCACCATGCTTCTCTCGGGCACAGAGGACAAGAGACAGCATTAAGGCTCTGGAGAGCTTGCTCAACACCACCATTATTAGCTTCTGTGGAGACACTTGTCTAAATGCTTCCTCGGGGCCTCTAGCTTTCCAGGAGAGACCATCTTCCATTACCTTGCTTCCCAATTTGCCTGCACTCCCATGAAAATCCGTACTTTCATTTAATTACCTAACCTTGCAGATTAACATCACAGGAGACATCTGTCTCCTTTTTCAAGTGAATTCCTCTTAGTCAGAGCAAGTGTAGCAAAACAAAATGTGGAGCAATACACTACTTCATTCTGTACAACTTTGCTGCAAAATCCCACCCAACATTTCCGGAGCACCTTGTGCTACGACTCTGACTTACTGAAAATTCATTTCTGAATTGAAGATGATTCAAAAATCTAGAGGGACAAAGACTGACTTCAGCCACCCCTCTCTTCCTCCAAAAGGAAATAAGGCCATTCAGCACTTTGCAGGAGTTGCTCAATGATTCATCTGGATCAAGCCCACGTTTCAAACCCTGCCAGGCTTCGCATCTGCTGCAAGCTCAAAGCATGCTGCAATGAGGCTGTAGCTGGTTGTAGCAGTCAAGCTGTGCATCTTTCAAAGGCATGTCTTAACATTTTTCTTTTTTTTTTTTTTAATTTAAAACTCCCTCACCGTGCTGAAGTGCACAGACACATTCTGCAGATGCTATGGACCCACCCCTCCTTGTACTAATATGCAACTGCACCAAGCCACTGATGCCAAAATTGCCCTTCCAGGGTCACACGTCCTTCTGAACAGACAGTTTCGACACCACTGAACTACAGTTCCTGCACCCTCCTGGCCACCACCTCAAATCATCAAGCTGAAGGCTGCAGTGTGAGACTGCAGCCAACTTTGCAGCGTGGAGGACAAGCTCCCTCAGACACCTGCCTGGCGACTGCGAGACTTGCTGTGTGTCAGGCCAGCGGCTGCAAAGAGAGAAGGAAGGAAAGAAGGAAGGAAGCAACACTGAGAGTCAAAAATATCACTTAAGGCACATAAGCTTGGAAGGCAGCCAAGGCCACCATTTGGTCAGTAAAGGGCTTTGGCCTTCCCAATAACATTTGGAAAAGCAACTGCCCCTGAGTCGTTGCTGACCAAAATTAACTATTTGCCGATACAGACTATTTCTTCAAGCTTATAGCAATGTTATAGGGAATGAGAGCTGGATAGATGGCTACTTACTCAGTCCGAGCTGAGCAATCTCTTCAAGTTCAGCTTCTGTCTTTGCTGCTGCAATAGTATGAGGCAACTTCAGGGTGAACGGCAGGACATCCCTGTTTGTGGAGCAGAACAACAATAATGATTTTCACAGCAACATCCATAGTTTTAGAGTATTTGTTTCCAACACAGGCAGTAGTTGTGCTCAGATTCTTACTCGCATTTCGAACTATGGCAGATAGCAAGAAGTTAAAACATGCGGTGCAGAAAAGGACCAACCCAAATGCTGCTTTACACGGAGAAGTGGTGTGAAGTGCAAAAGAGTCAAGTCCCCAGGACTCTCTTTGGGCTCATTTCTAAAGCCTCACCTTTTTTTCCTCCTATTACAGCAGAAGCTTTAACATCTGGCTTTCTAAGCAAGCCAGTGTGATGCAAAAGCTTTATCTGCCCTTACACCTTTCACTAAGCTTTGTATTTTCCAAAGACACCACTGAGTGCTCTCGAAACCAAACACGCAGCTCTCGGAACAAAAGCCCAAATAAGTATTTGCGTGGCTAGTTTAAAAAAAAATAATAACAATAAGCTGAGATGTATTGGTGCACTGGAAGAGGCTGCCCAGGGAGCTTGCAGTGCCTCCACTCTTGGAGAAGCTCCAAAGCCACCAGGACAGGGTCCTGGACAGCCTGCTCTAGGTGACCCTGCTTGAGCAGGTGATGGGATAGAGGATCTTTACAAGACCCTTTCAAGTGAACTGCTCTGTGATACTCTGTCCTACATTGAAAACACATTTCATTTAAGAAAGTCTTCATAACTTATCTTCATATCTGATTTCTATACCAGAAATAGACGAATACCAAAAGGTCAACAGATGTTTACAAAAGCAGATGTGTGAATATGCATAATATAAGCAAAAGATAGTGTAAATCTTTTAGACAAAGATTTTAAGAGACAAAACTACTTTACTTACATTTACATAAGTACTACCATCAGCAGATGGTAGGTCTTGCCCACCCTGTTGGTACCAATACATCCTTAAGTCAAATTAGAGTAAATCAGAGGATATGGAGCACAGAACCCTACGTCTAATCAGTGTCAGGATCATTTATTTTAAAAGCTTCAAAGCCAACCATCTACTGCAGCAGACAGACAATTTTTTTAAATAAACTCTGCATTTGCTGCAAACTCCCTGTACGCACTGACAGGGAGCTCCCAGGGCTTGGCTGGGGCAGAGACAACTGAAGGGGGTGACAAGATAAAGAACCTCTCATGGCTAAACTGCTTTTACATGCAGTTCAGCTCATTTCCCCTCTGAGTGCTGACCAACTGCTTCTACAATATAAATGCTTCTTTCATCACAGCACGGACAGCTCGGTGCAAGGCAGGCCAGGAGCCAAGGGCTTCTAGCTGCTTCTCCACTGCAAAAAAAGCAGTAAGCCTGGCAACCCCGAGCACATCCTTGGCCAGCAAGTGCTCCCCTCACTGGAATCACCACTGGCAGCACTGCCTGGTCATCGTGCTGCAGGAAAAGGCCCAAGACCTTCCAAGTGCCTCTCTCCATCCCTCAGAACATGTGCCTAGGTGTCAGTTCGGCTGTGTTCAACCTGTGGACTTGAGCATCTGCCTGGGATTCTTCAAATAATTTTTCCTAATCTCAAATTAAAACCAACTAAAAAGGCATTTTTTTTCTCTGAAAACAAGTCAGGCAGTCATAAATTGCAAAGGCAATGAAGCCATTTTTTGTTTTTTACAGAGGCCCTCAGTCGTCAGGGTCTCCAGTGCCATCAGACCTCGATGCAGCACCCTCCAAAAAACATTTTCCTTGCAACTCCAAGAAACGGCCATTGCAAGATAGCTGATAGCTGACAGTGCTTGTTCAAGGAGTTATAGAGCAGCTGAGAAAGCATTAGCACATGTCAGCTGCAGTCAAGTTAAACTGGGTGACCCCCCACAACAGTTGAGGGCAGGACATAAAACCATCTTTTCCGCAATCAGCAGGAAATACAACTGATCCTTACTTGCAGTTCTCATCTGTTACTCAGCCCCTTTCTCTCTATGATTGCCCAGGAATATTTACAAATCAGTAGTATTTTTATCACACTGAGCCAAGGAATGAAGCATCCAGCCAATCTAGCAAACGAAGCCCAGAACATCACACCATCTTACCTGCTAATACAGTAGAAAGCAATGAGCCTGAATAGATCAGCAAAACTTATTCCAGAGCCCTCCAAGGAAAAGGCTGTGAAGACAGACACAAGAGAGAAAGAATCACACATCCATCCGCTGGTTCTTCAAAAAGCTCAATAAAAAAAAAAATTTCTTCCTTCAGAAAATTAACAACACATTTGAACCAATTTGGCCACTGTTTGGTCAATCAGACACAACTGTGTGGAGCAGCATGTGTCTCTGCTCAAGGCGTTGTAAAGACTGTCCTGACAGTCCTGGTCGTGGGTTTGTTTTTGCATTCCAAAAACATGTTCTCATTCTTGGGAAACAGAACAAGTGGGATTAGAATTGCACAACTTTTTACTATCAGACAAACCAACCATTGAGGTTTTGCTTTACCTCGTGCACCAATACAGCTAGTTTTAATCTTCATTTCCTCCCCTCGAAGTCCTTCCTACTCACTTGTCTACTCCCCAGCTGTATCAGCACATAAAGGCAAAAAATGAATTTCCATTCACTTGTCACCTTTGAGAAAAGCCAGACAATTCTGCTTCATAGCCACTGCCCTGAGCTCAGTTTCAACTCATGCTTTCCTCCCCCGCCCCAGTAAAATGATATCAAAACTCTTCTAGAGATCCTTTCCAATATGTTAACCTGAAATTTAAAAAAAAAAAAACAGGCATGGACACTTTTTTTTCCTCCAAATCATTCTTCCTTACTGTTATAAATGCTTTTTCACATCAATAAGAAGTAGTTGCCACTTCACTAATATTAAGCTCTCTCTGATGCCAGCAGCTAAAGAACTTGGGCCATGCTGGTCATTTGTGTGCTCCCAAAAGGGAATCTATTCAAAAGACACATTAGTAATACACACAATAAACGGGGAGGTGATCCTGCAGGGGTTTAAGAGAAGATGCGTGTGGAGATCCCAGATTACAAGGAAAACCTCAACCGTGACGGGCGAGTAGAAACATCAGTGAATACTTCCCCCTTGTGGTAAAATTTTATGCATGAAAGACAACGCAATATCATTTGATTTTCTAAAGGGGAGAGAGGGAATTCGTTGGTGTAACAACACTAGGGAACACAGTCTTCGATCACACAGATTAAATACTAAAGTTGATCGTTTTCTCTTCTGTTTGCCTTGTTTCCAATTGAAACCAAAATCAGACTCATAGAATTGACTTTCTACGAGGAGGGAAGAGAGAGGGTAAAAAAGAGAAAATAACCAAAGTTAACTCAGATCAGTATTAGGACAAGAGAATTTAATTGCTCAGGGCCATTTAGCTGAAATTGTTGATGATTATTTCCAGTTTTCACTGTCCTGTTAAAACAAGACCCTTTCTCTGTTTGTAGTTTTTGTACCACAAACTAACCAGCTGCAGCTTCCTTTCCTCACTCCATCATTCCAGAGGCATTTCTGCCCTCCTCTCTCTGCAGGGATGAGTACAGTACATGTTCCCAAATCACAGCAACTCTGCTGTTTGCCATTTTCTGCAGAAGTGGAATCAATGCATCTCCAATTCAGCAAGGTACAAAAACTCACCAACACTCCTGGGTCCTCACACAGGCATAGGGGTTTCTGCAATATTTTCCCTCTCCAGGACATGCCTGACCCACTCTTAGATATGCCTAAACAACCCTGCCTGCCCTTTGTGTAGCACTTTGTGTTTCTGTGACTTTGGATCATTTTCTGCTGCAGGCTTCATCAGCACAAAGCACCTGGCTCGTGCAGGGTGGCCACCATCAGGAAGGTCTGTAATTAGTAACTTACTGTATGTGCTTTCTTTAATTGCAAATTCTTTCAGGCAGGACCCGCATTCACCAGGCAGGCGCAGAGAAATGACCTTTTTCTGCAGTCTTGCTGATTTCCTAACCAGAAATATCTGTGGTGGAGAAGGAAGAAGGATAAAGTTCTAGTTTCATTAAAAATACCTTAGGAAGAGACAGAGTTGTTATAGATGAAAGGAAGTGTAACAACTCCAAAATCTGCTTCCTATATGAAACACCTCCAGATTTCACTCCCTGAACAACTTGGTGCAAAACAGAATATTAGAAATGGTTTTAACTTCGTATAACACAGGCTGATAACACTAGATCCACTGTGACCATCTGAGACCCACAGTTTAACCCACAGCAGCCCTAGCCCTGGCTCAGGCCATGGAGTCTGGGGAAGGTGGATCCCAGCCCACTGCCATGATTCTCCCGTGCTAGGAGAGAGGCCATCAGGAGTGTGCAGAAACAGCCACCAGCCTTATCTGAGCACCTAATGCCTGGTTTCCCTCCTAGCAACTTCAGTGTGGCACTAATGAAGAAGAAAACGTGGCCAAATACCCTACTTTAGCAGTTCTCTCTCTGTGAGAAATGTATCCATTACAGTCCTGCAAAGCAAGGTCCTGCTGTGGAGCTCCAACTGCAGCAGCCAGGCTCTTAGCTCCAGCAAACCCCAAACTAGTCTTCACCTGGATTAACTAAAGCACCCAAGAAAATAGTTTTTCCAGCGATAGCTGCAACGTGTGATGGGAATTGTGACTTCTCACCCCGGGCGGCTGGGTCTGCAGGATCTCCGTGGCTTCAGCATCGTTCAGGCCCAGCTGCAGCCACACGGGGTGAGTGTGGAGAAGCTTGTCCAAGATGCTGAGCTTGTTGGACAGGCTGTCATAGCCAGAGTCCCGGGGACAGCCTTTTACATCCTTTTTCTCAGGAGAGACATTATCCATTTCCTTTACTCGGCTGCAAGGAAGAGAAAAAATATAAATTAGACATCTCCCATAAGCAACACTCAATCCAGCAAGCAGAATTTCCACAATGCTAGTGGTGCTGCTGGCACCCTGGATGCTAATCTAATGAAACTGCTATCATTATTATAGGCAAAACTGCACTTATCTGTATGATTTCTCTTTTTGAGTCACCTTCAGTTTGACAGCTAGCTTTGAGTTAAGCCTTAGCATTTTCCCTCAGCTCGCTGAAGTTCAGCAGTTGCCTCAAACACATGCACACGTCCAGGCATGTAGGAACTGATTAAACGCTTAACCCCACTTCCTCGTTGCGTTTGTTTTTGGAGAGATTTCTCTTCCGAGACTAATATTCGTGCAATTCCAATGTTTTTATTCCCCGTGAGCCTGGGGAAGCTGCAGTGCCCAGAAGCCTCCCTCCATCCTGCCCGGGAGGACCCGCTCGCCAGCACCGTGCCGAGCTGCTTATTGGCCATCCCAGCACCAAACATTATTTTCCTTTGCTCTCTGCCTCCAGGGATTTTTCTTGCAAAGGAAGCTTGTCAAAATAACCTCACTGCAGATTACCCCGAGCCTCACTATCATCATCTCCACTGGTATTTTGTCCAGGAAGGGCCTTACCACACACGCTAGCGCTACCATCTGTCCTGATGTGTCCTCCAAAAAGGAGTTACATATTTGTGCACTTGCCTCCTTCAGTCCTGGACTGACTGCTGTGTATGGAACGAAGTCAAAAGCTGGATTAAGCAGGAACTTGGCACAAGAATTTAAGCTGAGGATATATTTAGGGGCAGGATAGTCAGAGTGGTGCTAAATTCGGTAATAAAGAATAATCCTTAGAGGCTCTGGATATCTGTTGGGTTTTACAAATCTGAAGAAACTGGGTAGTCCAAGAGTTGCTTTAGTTATGCAGAGCTTCTCCATCACCCACACCCCACAGGACAGTAGTGTCAAAAAAAGAAAGGGAAAAAAAACTACTTTTTTCTAGTTTTGGGCAGTATCTTGCAGCATCTCCAGGCAGCGGTGGAAGGGGAAGTAACTGGGTGCACACGTGTGGGTACTTGCTCACTCCTTCCCTGCATGGTCAGAGGCAAAATGGGGCACCCAGGCAAAATTTTCCTGACCTGCAGCAGTCACCAGCACCAGCTCAGTGTTGGCCTCCCCCTTCCTTCCAGCCTCCTTTCCCTGTTGTTATTTATGCTGCCTTTGAGGAATTTGTCACCGCTTAGAGAGCAAAACTCTTTGGGACCGAGACGTTACGTCCTTGAAACCGGCACAGGGAGAGAAGAACCGCTCGAATGCCATGGAGATACCAGATTAATTCAAGCAGGATAAAACACTACACTGACAGATACGTGCCAGCCACACGCAGCACGTTGCAGGCAACCATCTAATTCCTCTCCTGTTGTCTTCATGGCAGCTCCCAGTAAAACACAAACCACTCAGGTCACACGAAACCAAACACCAACCCCATCTGCCTGGAGCGGCCGCTCCACCAGGCCCTCCTGATGATTTGGGCTCTCCGAGGAGTATCAACGCTATTCACAGCGGATTAGTGAGCATGTGGGATTCACGCAGGTTTCCTTGGATTTAGGAAAACCCACAAGCGCGTGGGAAGTCCCCAAGGATAACGGCCAAGACAAGCAGCACGGCAACGTCCTGATTACGCACAGCTCGCAGCAGGAAGGACACGGGGCAGGTTGAACCTGCTGGTCGGGGTGCTCTTCTCCCTCCTACCTGCGGGGCTCAAACGCAGGCCCCAGTTGCCTCCATGCAATGCAGGGGCTCCTGTCCTGCACACTCGCTCTCTGTGGATTCTGCTTCCAGCCCCAGCTGTATTTCTCACTCCAACCTCGTGACCAAAACTTCTGGTTTTCTTTCCCCTTTTCATCTGCTCTCCGATCCTGCTGGGGCTCCCACACGGACAGACACCAGCCTGGGAGCTGGTGACACTGCACCCTACCAGGACAAGCAACGTTCAGTGCCCCTGAACTCTGTGTTCCAGGACTGTCCCACCACTGGAAATGGTGGAAGAACCGACCTATCCTAGTGAGGGCTTGTCCGTTTGTTTGCTGGAATGCTCCCAGGTTTCAGGATGCTCACACACCAGGATCACGTAACCAAAGCACTGAGGGAGAGGCAGAGGTTCCTCCTGTGGCGCTGCCAGGAGGATATTCAGTCTCTCCCCAGCAGATGCAACTCAAGAAGCTAGTGGAAAAAGGTGGAAAACAGTAAGAGATGTATAGACATAAGAGCTGTCTAGCATAAAGCATGAAGGATAAGGGAATAGTCTAAAGTGAGAGCCAAATGTGAGTAACACACGACTCTGAGCTCAGATTTTCTCTAGATTCAAATCCAAAAGTCCTATCAAGATGCTGACTTCCGAACAACAAAATAGACAGTATAAAACAAGCAAGCTACACTAATCACCAAGTTTAAAAATAACTATGGAGGTATAAATAGCCAGAATAGGAAAGACATCCTTTATGGAAGCCTAGCTGAAAATGAGCATCCTCAAAACAAAGCTGAAATGCCTGAAATCTTGCCTGGTAATTCTAAATAAACAAAATCTATCAGCATACAACTAATTATATAACTATTTTCAATGCAACCTTCACCAACATAGAAGCATAAAGTTTATGTGTGTATAGTCAGATAAAATTTACCTTACTTAGTATATGCAGATTTTGTATTTTACATCTATCATTTTCAAAGGGACCATAAGGATTTTTTTTTAATTGAATGCCTAGTTTTAGTGTCAAGTTCTATTTCTACGTGAATCAGAATTCAATTAAATACTCAAAGAAATTCAGGTTAATTTTACTTGCATGTTTTAATCAAAATACACTTTGCATTCAAAACTGAGTCTGCAAACCAAAAAAAACACTCTTTTTTTCTGTAAAATGGAAGATTTTAATGGGCTGTTACCAGCTAAGTGCTTCCACCAAGACTGGAGAACTCGCAGATATACATGATCTATGTTTCATTCAAAAGTAAGAGGTTGCCTTTTCTCAAGTGAAAATTAGCTAACAGTCACTGAAACTAATTAGCTGAACCCTTTAAAATGGAGAAAATATCCTTTCTGTCCCTGGAAACTGCTCTGTAAGGAGCTTTTGCACTTGAACAACATGTGACCAGAGGCTTCGCCAAGCATTAATTAGTGCCCTCGTCTGATGTTCTTCACTGCTTAGGCAAGAAAGGTGCTGCTCAACATGTAAATTAATGCACGTAATTCAAATGCATCACATTAAGATTTAGCACATCTTGTATTTACAGAGAGAGAAAAAATAGCTAAAACCAAAGAGGCAAATCTGAGTAACTATTATCCACTTCACTAAATCACCTCCAGTAAAATACAGTCTGCTAGGAATAAGACCTGCCCACTAAGTGCAGGCAGATGAAACCCAATATTTGCATGGGCGACTTTCCTCTTGCAACAAATATTTCGTCATTAAGGACATTTTTGATCTTAACGTCCTGAATAAAATATCAGGTCTCCTCTGGATGTCAATTCGTCAAACAGCCACTGACAACCAAACCCCACAGTCAAAATATCCACTATTCCCCAACTTACAACAACAGGCTTCGACTGCCAGTTTCTGTAGCCCTTACCTGCATGGTATGATTTAACAGAACCAGAACTTTATCTGCACTCTAATAAATATCTTAAATCATTTTAAAGTTAACAAATTGTATCCATCTGCTAATTTTTACATACAAGACACTTGCGTACAAACCAACCTAAACTCAAATGTTCCTATGACACAGGTCAGCTCATACCACTACTCTACTTGTTAAGCTGAGAACATAAATAAATTGTGTCCTTGGACAAAACTTTCTCGTATTGTCACCGAGCAAGGAGGTTTTCGGCCTTTTCCGGGTGCAGGCCGAGCTTGCTGCCCTAGGGAACAGGAATATCCCCAGGAGCTTCCTGATTCCGACGCTCTGCCGTGCCCCGGCCTCGCAACGAGGCAGTGAATTCCGTTGCTTTTAGAAGTTATTGAGGCAAAAAGAGAGAGGCGGCTCCTCTCGGGACACCCCTCCTGCCCCAAAGCAAAGCCCGGCGCGCGTCACCCTGGGAAGCAGCACCCGGACCACGCGCCCATCCGGGAGCTCCGGGAGGGAACGTTTTTCTCCCGTTACCTTTGCAAAGCAGCGGGTTCATCCTCCAGGGCGAGATCTGTCTGCACCATCTCCTGTTTCAGTTCTCCGATTTCTGAGGCGATTGTGTCAATGAGCTGCAAAGGGACAAAAATAGAAGGATGTCAAGAGGCGGGGAAAGGGAGCCCGGGTAAGTTTAGTCACCGGAGATTACAACTTTTTTTTTTTTATCCCATCCTATGCGGACTTCCCCTTGTAAAGGAAAAGAGGTTGGGGAGACTTAACTGTTTCTAGAGAGAGAATAACTCTTTTTTATTTGTGCCTGTACAAAACTTTCCCAGCTTCATTTTTTTCTCCAGTTTTAATTTAAATATATTAAACTCGAAGCCTAAAAAGGTAATTTTAAAATAACATCTGAAATCAGGATGAGGCAGCCAAGTTTGGAGGCAACCATTAAAACAGTGAAATTTAAATGAAATGTTGAAGCACGAGTTGCTCCCCGTCATTGCTGCAAACCCAGCGCAGAGCTGGCTGGTGAAGCCAGAAGCAGGAGGTCTCTGCTCCCCCGGCACTTGATCCGCTCGTCCGGCTGCAGGGCCGGGTAACAGGAGCCCCAGGGGCTGCCAAGCTGGACAAGGAAGCTTCTCTTCCACATTGTGAGAGACCAAGAGAGGTGGAAGCACCAGCTCACAAGAGCTGAACCTCAAAGAGGACCCAGGGTAACCAAGCACAGCCCCTAGCTACAACAACCACTCTCACCTGGTCAGGCAGTTTTAAACATGATTGGTTTTTTCATATGTCATCTTAAAGTTTGCTTTAAAGAACGAACCCCGCTCTAAAATATTGTTCCCATGTCTTCTTATTTGTGTCCAGATGTGCGAAATGCAAGAAAAACCCTAATAAAGGGCAGCCCAGAAACGTATCACTTGCTCTTCAGAAATAACAAGTGCGACAAAATATAGGAATAAAACAGAGCATCCTTTAGGTCAAGAGAACCACCCCAGAGTGAGCTACAGCCTATCAATGGTCAAGTTAAGATTTCCTCTTTCTGGATTAAAAAAAAAATAATCACAGTTCATATCTGACCACACTTCCTTGCGGGACACGCAGCCAAGGGGCTGGCTTTAGTAAATAGATAAAGCAAGACTTTATCAAAAACTTTAAAGAAACTTTAGGAAAGTTTTAGTAGTTTCTTTCTTTTCTAACCTTGATGAAAATGGAAGGAAAAAAAAGGAGCCAGTTTGAAATACTTGCTAAACTTCCCGAGGCTTCGTGTGTGAGGAGACCTGGCCAGGAGGGACATTGCAGGAGCCGCGCGCTCAGTCCCAGCGACCCCGAGTCGCACCGGGCTTTTAAACCACGAGCTCGGGAAATCCGGGAGCTGCATCTGAACGTGTCATTAAACGTTATTAAAGGATTTAACCCGTTAACGAGACTGTCTGCCAGTGCGAGCGCTGGGTGATATTCCCACACCCAGCTTTATCTGTGCAGGTATTTGTAGGTGTTTTTGCACACTTGCCCTAGATTTGGCCTCTTTCAGGAAACTTCCCTTTAAATTCTTGTCTGGGGAGATGCTTGCTTATATAGAATTAAGGCTCTTGGAAATACCTACTTTAAAAACAGCTCTGAAACATATATCCTCTTCAAGTCAGGGCAGTGTAAAGCAAGGACGGCTACACGGTTTTACCTTGAAGACATTAAGCCATCTTTGTGCTTTTTGTATTTCTGCCTTGAAGAGAAAGTGGTAAAACGTCTTTCCGTGGCACAATTTTTCTGGATTCGGTGAAAAATTTTTCCTTCATTAATAAATAAATAAATATTACTCTTCTCCCACTTAAAAAAAAAAAATCTTTTTGCAGCTAAGTTACCTGGAGCATGTTTGCAATTAACTGCCACACGGTTACTCCAGCAGCACCTGAGCCAGCGCCGGCCAGGTGCAGTCACGGGTCCGTGAGGTCATTCCTGAAGCACTCGGCATGACCAGAACTTCTGGTCCTGACGCAGCCCACGAGATGCTCTAACACCCAGCGTGGCTCTTAGGAACACACTTGCAGATGCGGGAAGGCAGCCTGCTCTGCAGCACAGGGCTTTGGGTATTTTAATTCCCAGACATTTCTCGCGGCTCGAAAGACCAAGGTTCCTGTTTGGCTGGGAATAATGGAGAAAGTTTCTCATTGATTCCAATGCACTTGGAATCAAGACCAGAAGAGGTGGTTTCCAAGGGAAATATGATTGAAGTAGAGCAAAGTCGGAGGGCTCCATTAGTATAAAATAACATGCATGAGCCCCAAGCCTCCAAAGTGACATGAAAAAGTCTTTCACAGATGATTTAGAGCTAGGAAAAACTGCCATTACTCTCCTGTGCTACAGAAACAAGAGGTTTACATAAAAAGAAATTTGTTTGGGAGTATCACATCTTCTCAGGTGAGGAGTTCGTTAACAGTAAAAAAAAGAACCAAAATGAGAAAATAACTAATAAATACGCAAAGTGTTAAATAACTGGTTGTTTTCTGCTGTTTTTCTGTTTTGGCTGCACTCTTCTGTAAGTGAGAAACTACAATTCTACCGCTCCGCCAGCTGTCGTCAAGCAAAATAAAACACAACTGCTGCGAACCCAAATAAAAATGACTCAGAGAGCGTGAAGTCACAGTAGCCCAGCACAACATTCCCTAACCAAGCCTACCCTAAACAGCAGATTGCCCCCAAATACCAACACGCTAACTGTTTACATTCCTAAAATCCAGGAATGGGAGCATGAGATGCAAGCAGCCTAAACCACAGCATATTTTTTCCCTAATGCATCACGCAGCGGTTCGTGTCAGCTGAGCCCGGCGCCTGCCCTGATGCCTGGCCCAGCTCTGGGCCTCTCTTGTCATTTGGGGGTTCTCGGTCTCGGGGTGACGGGTGGTTTGAGCTCCACGGCTGCTGCAGGGCATTTTCTAAAATCCTGTGCTCACTGCAAGGCAACTGGATCCCCTTTCTCTACACGGAAATGCAGATGGGCTTGAGCGAAGAATTAATGAAACAGTCACGTTTCTTGGAAGTGCAGGGAAGGAGACGCGGAGGCGGCAGCGCTGGGGGGCTCTCTGCAATGGTCTGTTCGAGGGACTCCAGAGGAAAAGTGAGACCGGCATCTCCGATCCACACAGGGCAGAAGACAACCGGGATCAGCATCCGACTGGACAAACGGGCCCCGCACTTACCCTTTTCCCCGCCAGCCTCTCATTTTCCCTTCTCGCTGGAGCCCCGCATCCTATTTGGCATCTCCTCGTCGCCTTCCTGTTTGGATAAGCAGAGTGCAGCAACCTCAAAGAGCAGCCTGTGCGCCGAGCTGGCGGAGCCCCAGCCGAGCGGCGAGCGCTATTCCTGGCCCTGTCCAAACGCCTGCGCGCAATTCAATATTTTGATACGTGGCTGCACTTTCTGCCCATTTTGCACAGCGAGTTTCCAAGGCCCCCAACATTATTCAGCGTCTTATTCTTCACTAAGGAGCACAGTTTTTGTTGACGCTGGATGTTTGCACAGAAAAGCATCAATGGTGTTAACGTTTTGGATGTCACCTCAGTGCAGTTTGGAGCTTAATATTTTGATGAGAAGGATGACTCAGTAAGAAGGAGGTTTGTCAGGGACTCGCTGGCTCTGAGCCTTCAGAAAGTACTACTTTTAAAGACTTGGCAGAATTTGGCCTCTAAAAACACAGGCTTTCACTTCTTGTAGAAAGAGGACGACAGACTTTTCCTACCACACCAAAGGTTAAAAGAATCAGCGTGGGGAAAAACAAAACAAAATAAGGGGATGGTTAGAAGCTACAGCCATGTGGACTATTTAAGGACAACCGAGAAGAAACAAAGCGAGCTGGTATTTCCCACTGGCATGTGCCAAAGAATTTCCTAGCAAACGATGCCGAAAACAGCAAGACACTTTTTTCCAAGCACTTAAAGTGCCCTGAGGAAGCGTAGCCCAGTGTGCCAAAGGTATTTTGGGCAGCCTTAAATTGCCCAGGACAGCACGAGCTCAGACACAGCCTGCACGCGTAGCCTGGATAGGACATCTGCAGCACAGCTATCACAGGCAGGAGAATCTCTCTCAACTACCAGGTCTCCAAAACACAAAGTGAGACAAGGAAAAAAGTACTAGCATCTAAAGGACACATAAAAAAAAGCCAACAAAGAAGTAAAATTATGCATATGGAAAAAAGGGATGGTATAAGAGGATGAGAAATCTGGAAAGGTACCTCTGAGGCATCTTTTATTCCCACTGTTCTTCAGGCCTGAGAAAATTTGGAGCAACCTCAGAGTTTCTCGGTTGTCACTATCACAGCCTTAGAGCACGCTGGCATAAAATTGCTGTGGCATGGTGCTGTCCTTCTCATTCTGAGTAACTCCATCTATCACATCAGCAGGATCAGGGGGTGCCCAGAATCACCATTTCCATGCCTTTAAACCACTCAAGATTTAAGGTGAAGACACCAACGCACTATAGAAAACACCTCCACTGGCATCGTTATCCCTCCAGCAGATGCATTACGAAAAATCTGGAAACACTCTTCACAACTGAAATAGTTTCTCGCTGAGATTTGGAAGCCATGGCCACTCACCCCATCCAGCTGTGGCCGGCTATCAAACAAGGTAATGTTTGTGCTTCTGAGAAACGGGACCTAACAAAAGCGCGTTGCGCAACTGCAAAGCGCCTGCTGTCCCCACATGACTCCTTTTTACTGCTGACCACATGAAAGAGTCAGCCAAGGAAGAAAACACTTAGTCACTGCAGCACCAATCTTTCGTTTTCTTAGGGACTGGCCCGAGGAGACTGCCTCGAGATAAAGGGAACATGCAACACGTTACCACGCGTCCGTGTGTCACTGCGACCGTGTGACGAAGCTGCTGGCAGGAACTGTGGCCCTGCACGCTCCCTTGGCAGTGACTGCGGCCGGGACACCAGGCTCAGCGGCTCCGTTCCCCTTTGCCATGGCCCAGGCAGGGCAGGACGCTGCACTTCGCTAGGTCGCGATGCCTTCGGCCGAGCGCAGGTGCCAGGGCGCTGCTCCCCGTGCCCGGCTCTTCCCTCTAGGAGCCTGGGCTACCCACATAATCACAGGAAGGTTTTGTTAACTCGGTGCACAGCAGGCAGGCTCCAAGGAAACCACAGGCTCCTCTGCAGCAACACGAGCCCTGCCTCGTTACGCACAAACACCGGGCGGCTCACGGTGCTCTGCTGCCTTCTGAAAGCCGCGCTGACAACTCCAACCCCACGTCCACCTCGGGAGATGCGGGTAGAGACGCAGCTCCACACGTGCCAGCTCTCCAAAGGCTCTCCAGCATGGAAAGACCAGGGCGAGCTCCTGTGGCAGCAAGCGCCCCGTGGCACAGAAAGCCCCTGCCAGGTCCTCCTGAGCGGGAAAACCCGCACGGAGCGGGCAGCGGAAACGAGGAAGCAGAGGGGCTCTCACCTGAAACCATTCCGCACTGAAACAGCACAGATTAAGTGTGCTGCAAGCCACAGTCAGCGTGCAAGAGCACCAAGTGAAACGGTTTCTGTTTACCCAGCATAACCATGCGAGTGCCAGACCAGAACCATTAACTCCCACTGCCAGCAGGCTGAGTATCTTACGGGAGGAAGGATTAGTTCCCTCCACAGTATTAGGCTCAGACAGGCACCATGCTGCGTTTTTGAGCACTGCGGTGAGCTGCACACCGGCTTCTTGGTGATTCCCAATGAGGTGCACTTGATATCTTCAATAACTTCAATACTTGAATGAAGGAATAATAAAAAAACAACTGATATATACACACAGTGACTGCAAACATAGCATTTTTGTGTGTTTAGATAACACAAAAACAGAGAGCCCTCCCTGCCCCAAGTAAATCTAAGCCAGAAATGATACAACTTTAAACTACACAAATCCAGTTTATGAAAACTCTGCTCACGTTATGCCTGTAATAAAGCTCTTGATACCACTGCAAAAAAAGCCACAAGCCCTTTGGTACCAAATACTCTACTAAAGGTACAGGAAAGCCACACACACAGAGGAAGGGGCCGTCTAACTTAAATAAAACCTGACCAGAGATCCTCAGGGAAATGCTTCCTGTTTTACAGGAAAGATGTGCCTCACAGGACAGATCCTGTCGCACTTTCTGCAGCGCTAGCTGCACAGAAACCCATGTCCTTGATGTTTTGTGTTGGTCAGAGACACAAAACCTAGAGCCAGTAAAAAAAAAAAAAATCAGGCTCTTTAGCAGCTCTTTACAGCTGCTAAAGAGAAAAATAAGCCACTAACACTTCACAGCAAATGCATCCTCCTCATTACTGAAATAAATCAAATATGACATTTACCTTAAAGAAGCTTCCTCTCTTGTCTAGACAACGGGCTTCCATCGTCAAAGCCGACATCTTCCCCGAGAAGACTCCACCGAATGCCTTGAACTCCTAAAAGCAGAGACATTTTTCATGGTTAGTCCAGTCGGTAGGAAATGCCTCTGCAAGCCACAGCAGCAGTCACAACAAGCCTTCTGCCAAGATCTTTTTCCGTCAACAACACAGTGCCATCTATTTAATACTAAAGCCCTTACATATCCTTCCAGTCTATTATTTTCCTATATATCTCCTCAAAAAAGACAGTGCTTGGAGTTGCACGCTTTCCCTCCGCCCGCTCCTCGCAGCCGATCCAGGAGCTCCAGGACTGCATTTAATGTGCTCATTGGGTTTCATGTGCTCGTTAAGGAAGACGACTAAAACACAGCGACTGCTCTGTTTGCTTGACCTCAGCCTGCAGCACAAACAGAACAAATGTTAGATGTCACCACAAGCCCTTCTCGGGGGTTGCAGCTTTCATGGGGCCGGCTGCAAGGCAGAAAAACAAATATCACCCGTATGGGAGAAAACACATTATCGTAAATGGAGGAAAAAAAACCCTGCAATGGGGAAGCAGCAGCATTTTGCATCGCCAGGTCGAGCAGCAGCCCTGGTAGGTGCCCACGAGGGCAGAACGCTGCTCTGCAGCCCCTTGTGCAGGCAGGGAGAGCCTGGCAGCCTTGCAAAGCGCATGCAACCCACGAGGAAAATCCCTCTAAGTCTAAAGCTGCAACCAGCTCGCCCAGGTAATTCCAGCACGAGTTTCTGACCCAAGCAAGAGCTTTACAGCTAAACTAAACTTAAACTCATAGCTTCACAGCAACAAGTACCTTGCAGGATCGTACACAGCGAGATTTTCATTGCCTTTAAAGAGTCTCCTTTTCCTCCCCCTAACGCATTTTGGGACAATAAAACAACTATTTCTCCTGAAGGTCCAGTTAACCAAATAACAAATATTGCAAGCGCAAAGTGTTACAGGCTAAGTTAGAGGCACAGCTTTGGATAGGATGTGCAAACAAATGGCAGGGAGCGGAAGGGAGGAACAAGATTATTGTGACTGCAGATGAAACATGAGCAAAAGGAGCAGCTAAAGCAATGAATTTTGAGAGTTAAAGAAAAAAGCAGGAGACTTTCCCCAGCCCCGTTTCTATGTCCCTCTAACGCATTATGAGAAACACCAACAAGGCCAAACAGGACCAAGGAGGAGTTTTAAAAAGCGGAATGGGAGGTTTTTGGAAAGATCTTGCAAGCACAAGCACTGGAAAGGGGTGAGAGGAAAAAGGAGGAGGAAAGAAATATTTAATCTTGGTATTAACATGCAGCTGGAAGCTTAGAATTCCTCCAGCCCCTTCTAGAGCTCGCATCACTGCAGCACTGGAAGAGGTTACATTTTTCCACTTATGGGCTCTCAGTAGTTGTGCTGGACGGCTCCGGAAGCAGCCTGTTTTCCAGGCAGAGTCTGCAGGCTTTAAAGGTGCAAGGAAAACTGAATTCTCCATTCGCGTGCAAAGCGAACACAGGAGGGCAGCCCAGAGGAGCCCAAAAGCAGCGCTCAAAATCATTATTTCTTTTTATAATCAGCATGTGCAAAGGAATAAAGCCCTGAAGAAGCAGTTAAGCACTGCCATCTCAGTCACTTTATCCAAAGTCCACCTGAGTGACTTGACGGAGCCAATCCTGGCAGAGGCTGAAGTCCTGGGAAGTGGGCGAGTTTGCAGGCGCTATTAGTTGGGCTCTGCGACTTCCTTTGCCACATTGAAAATAGCAATGAGGAAAGGTTGGAAACAGAGCTGCTCTTCCACCTTGAGAAATACCAGGCATTTTAAAGGCTCCTCCTACAGGAATTCAACCATTCCAAAAAAATTCAGGATTTGGCAGAGCTTTTTAATTAACAAATGGAAAAATTTTCTTCAAGACTTCTGTTTTCTACCTTTCAAAGCATCCCTGACCTCCCAGCCGAGTCTATCACCCCAGCTCCTCCAGGTTAGCTGGGCTGCTGAGCAGCTGGTAAAGCAAAGGGCTTCCCACCGAAGGGGAGGGAACTTTGGGAAACACTAAACCCTTGCTACAAGGTATCTTGACTTTGTTTGCAATGCCCACCAATACTTGCAATTACCCACCTAAACTCCCCAACTCTTTCATCAGCTTTTCTCATCCATTCTCAAGAGTACCATCCTCCTCAGACAGCATCACACGAGGTACCTGTACAGGGAAGCCATCTCCTTCTCACCGTTAGCCCAGCCTCCCACCTCCCTGAAACTCATGGAGTTCCCACACCACCAGCCAAAACAATAAGGCTCCTGGCACTAAATTCCCAGGTTCCTCTTGGTTAGGGAGCTGTAAGTCGTTCTGTGAGCCCTGCTCCCACGCGGCCGCAGGGCCCACGGGGGCACGCGGCCTGCTCGCGCCGCCAGCTGCAGCTCCACGTGTGGGCCAGGGCCCGAGCCGCAGGCCGCCCCCACACAACGGCGCGAGGCGAGCGCTGCCAAGGGGATCGGGCTGGTGGATGGTTGCACCATCACCTCCCAGGACTCCCCCTTCGTTTTCTCTCTGCTTATTTCAATCCGCAGAACTTGGAATCACAGAACAGCTGAGGTTGGCATGGACCCGCAGGGATCATCTGGTCAATCCCCAACCGCTCAAGCAGGGTAAACGACAGCAGGTCGCCCAGGACTAGGGCCGGTTGGATCCTGCCTAGCCGGAAGGATGGAGACTCCACAACCTTTCTGGACAACCTGCTCCACCGTTCAGTCATCCTCACAGTAAAGGATTTTTCGTGTGTTTAAAAGACATCTCCTATATTTAAATTTGTACCTGTTATCTCTTGTCCTGTCATTGGATCTCACTGAGAAGAGCCTGGCTCCATCTTCCTCATATCTGCCCATCAGGTACTCATGCACATTAGTGGACTAACCTGCTCCCCTTGGTTGAACTTCACCACATCCTCCAGCTTGTCATGGTCCCTTTGAAGGGACAACCACCTCGCACAACCACTCACTCCCCCCAGTTCCTCTTTGTCTACTAACTTGCTGAGGGTCCCATCATACTTGTCATTACCATCATACATGTCATTAATGAAGATGTTAAGCAGCAGTGGTCCCAGTATCAAAGCCTCGGATTGATCTCTCTCTTTCCTTGGATCTTCTTGTGATCTTTAATCATAAGATTTCCTTGGATCTTTCTTGCCCTTCTTGTGTTTAAAGCAGCCCTGATCTTCCCTCTCCGCTTCTGTTTGGAATGGCATCATCTTAGTAACCATTGTGACAGGGCCCACAAAACCAGATATTCCAAATTCTATAGTTACAGATTCACCACGCTGGACCTCTCATGTGTACAAATGTGACACGAGGTTAAGTTCACCAAAAAAAGGGCAAGAACATGTATCACCAACCCACAAACGCCTACTGAAACACAAGATCAGCATTGCCCCTTGCTTTCACTCTGGATGGTTCATGGGGTCCCAGGCTTTTTATGCTCTCAGACAGCAGAACTTGATCTTCTGCTAACCAGCACCATCTTGCAAGGTGCCGGAAAAGGGCACATCCACCAGCTCCCCCTGGGAAGAGGGGAGAAAGGGAAGGACCAGGTAAGGGGCTCAGCCTCAGCTTTCAGCACCAGAACCACTGGGATTCGAGCAGTCTGCAGTTGAGGAGGGTGAGGCAGAGTTCAGAAGCAAAGGAAACGAGAAATACTTCATTTTCTTGCCAACTTCCTTCCAGAATGACCGGTGTTATTTGTAACACAAAAGTAGAAAAGGAATTAGGATAAAAAAAGCAATTTTTGATGCTATCCTTCTAATGACAACGCCAAGCCACAGATTTCACATGAATTACACTAGGGGTTTATGAGCATGATCATGTAGTTAAATGTGTATCTTCTTAGTCATTAATCATTCCCTTTGCAAACAATGACTCCCTTCACGGGAAATCTATTTTTTTCCCCTAATTTAACCACAAGGATGTCTACACGCAATACTGTTACCAAAACAAGACTATGCCAAAGTTTGAGAGCTCATCTTATTTCAAAACACAACATAAGTTTATAAGCTTCCACAGACATACGTAAAGCAGAATGCAAACACACAGAAATTGTCCTTCAAAGAACGGTACAGGTCTCTTAAGCTGGGAGAAAGAAGAAAGTTTCAGGCTACTGTTTTTCCTACTGAAAATTCTGAGGCTTTATGTTTCTCTACAGCTATTGTTTATGTAACATTATTATTATTATTACTACTACCTCTCTGATCACAACTCGGAGCCTGAACTGAGACTGGGCTTTGCACTTCCCAGTTCTCTATACAGCCAGCTAGCTACAGAGCCATACTAAAAAATTGGCTTAGCAACTGGATAAATTTTAAGTGTAACTTCAAATCAACTTAGGATGACCTAAATGCTGAAAAAATCAAACATGGAACAGTATCTCTGATTAAATTGGCTCAACTGGCTTTCTTAAACTGACACTTCAGCACTGCCACCACAGGATCTAGGAAAGAAACTGGACTCTCTTGTTTCCGTGGGTTGTAATGAAGATTCAATTTAGGCTACAAAACATGTACGTAGATGTAAACATCCCTTAGTAAGAAGTATTTTGTGGGAGGAAGAACATTCTCAAGAATTAGGGTTGGTGTTTCTCCTTCTTCGCCCTTGGGTTAAGAGGGTACATAAAAAACACTGAAGACAACTAAAGGCACCATAAAGAGAAATCGTTTCTCTACATGGCCATCTACATCTTGCTTTTCTGCAGTTCCAGCTTGCTCTGAACTGGTCCCTGCTGAGCTCTGATAGTCTGAGATGGGGGGAAAAACCTTTCCTCAGGGTTTTAGAAGCTGGGTGGCAAGAAATGCCCAAGCATGCCCATTTATATACATACCTGAGGCTGGTATTTTCCCTTTCCTTTGTATTTTATGGACTGAGGCAGAGAATTCCAGACTCTGTGGATGGGTTTGGACACTGCCGGGCGCTCAGAAGCCCATGTGAACCTGTCCCCAGGCCATGGGAGCCAGGCTGCTGCCTGATCTCTGCAACCTTCTTTCTGCCCCCCTGCAAGGTGGCACTTGCTGCCTTGCTAAAGCAGGCAGCATCCCACCTCCTCCGCAGTCCCTGCAGATCTTTGCTGTATGGACAGCAGTGCTAGTCCTGAGGCCTTACCTGACTTCTGCCTGCAAACGCTGCTGCTCTAGTAGCGCCTGGACGGCTCCCGCGCGGCAGGGACAGCCCGCGCTGCCAGCAGGA